TCTCTCTCTCTCTCTCTCTCTCTCTCTCTCTCTCTCTCTCTCTCTCTCTCTCTCTCTCTCTCTCCCCCTCCCCCCCCCCCCATGTACACACACACACCCCTAAAATAAAAAATAAAAATAAACAATTAAGTGCATCACTAATTTGTGCATGGCGCACGGCGCACGCGCACCGCACGCCGCACCGCAGAAGTGCGCCTCAAGTATGATGAATACTCATCCACACACTGTGTATAAATAGAAATATGTTTGGGAAATCCAAACCACTTGTCTAGTTGAAGTAGTGCTGGCCATTTCCAAACCATTCATTCCACTGCAGCGAACCAACTACTACCTTACCACACGCCAAATAGAAATATGTTTGGGAAATCCGAACCACTTGTCTAGTTGAGCTAGTGCTGGCCATTTCCAAACCATTCATTCCACTGCAACGAACCAACTACTACCTTACCACATGCCATCACATGCTCAACTCAAATCTGACTCCAAAAGGTAATCAATCATTCATGCTTCACACAGTAAGATCAACAGTGATTGGCTAACCACTCAAAGCACCAGCGCACCATCAACTTGAGCCACTACTATGAATCTGTCAATCTGCAGAGGTCAGAGCCCGTGATGCCATACAAGTTCCTCCTTTAAGCCGCAATCGCATTTCCGCAATTGACCTCTGCGTTTGGACCACTTTTCGCCTATGGGACAGAAAACCATGGCCGCCTGATACGACAACCCACCAACCAAGTGAAACAAACAGACCCCCAAACTGGCAACCAGGGGGTCACAAAAAGGGAGAGGTGGTTTAAGAGTCGCTGAGCATCTTTTTAGGACACTAGTTAGAAAGTGCATTTGACTTTGCCAGGACTCTCTGAAAAGGAACAGGTGACTGTACCCTTTTTCCAGGGCGTGCTCTTTCGCCTCGGTCATCTTCTTCGCCGTTCTCATCTCCAGCTCCAGCAAGTTCACCTACAGAACAAGTTTTCCGCTCCAGTTGGGTGCTTCACAACATACTCACACAACAACATGATGACAGTCTGACCCTGCAGGCACTGACTTGCCTGAATTTTGCATTCCAACTTGCTCACCAACTAACAACCATACATCAAAAGGAAGGAAAGCACAAGAAACAAGCACATAGCAAACTCCTTCAGCTCTCTCTCTCTCTCTCTCTCTCTCTCTCTCTCTCTCTCTCTCTCTCTCTCTCTCTCTCTCTCTCTCTCTC